CAAGAGATTTAATAGCATATAGCCATGCACATTCACCTTTATGGAATATTCAACAGTTTGAAATAGAACAAACACTAACGATAATGAGAGCATCATTACCTAATGTCACTGCTGTTGTATTTACTGTTGGAGAGATTCCTTTAGAATTTTCAAATTTAATGAAAAGGTTTAATGTTATTGAAGTACCTGGTGATATAAAATATGAAAATTGGAATGGTGTTAATGCAAGAATACCATTGGTATTAGAGTATTTAAAAAGTCATCAAAGTCAATATGATAGAGTAATATGGAGTGATCTAAGAGATGTTTTTTATTTTACAGATATTTTTAAAACATTTTCAACAAATGATTTATATTGGCTTGCAGAAAGTACTGGAACAAAGAATTTTACCTTTTATAATAGATATCCTCATTTTGCTTGGATGTTAAATTTTAAAGGAAAGAAAATGACTAAAAAATTTATGGAAAATGGTAACGTTGGTTTAAATGGTGGTTTAGGAATGGGTGGTATTCATAAAATGATACAATTTATTACTAAATGGAATGATTTAATTGAACTTGAGTATGTAAGTAAATGGGGATATGACCAAACATTATTAAATTTATTAACCCTTGATGAATTTGTTATGAATAACCTTCATTTAATTATTGAAAAATGTACTCAAAGAATGTGTTTCATTCCTGATCAACTTTCTATTAATAATAATATTGCTTATTATCCATCAGGTTGTAGTCCTATAGTAACTCACAAAGGCGTTCCAGATTCTTGGAGAAGTGTTAATGGAAGTGTTGTTGTACCAGAAGATAAATAGAAACGGCAATATTTCATTTAAATTTACTTTTTATATAAAACTATATAAATCTTGAAATTAATAATATTTCAATCTTTTCTAATATATCACTATTATTATAAAACAATACTTTTAAATTCATCAATCAAATAATAATTAACTTTTTATAAAACCAAATAAAAATTGAATGTATGTTTTTTTTGAATTCATTATTTATACAAATAATAATTTTTCAATTCAAAAATAAAATTGAAGTTATAAGGAATTTAAATCAATACTAGGATTTTTATTATTTAAATTATTCAATAATATTAAAGACTCTCATTTCTACTTTTACACAACAATTTAAAATATATTGAATTGATTGATTATCAAGTATATATTTTCTACTTAATAGAATTAATTCTTATTCTTCATCATTTATTTTCTTAAAAAAATACTATTGATGTATTTAAATAAAAGTACTCATATCATTTTTCTTATTAGTGAAACACTCACAGTATTTTAAACTATAACTAGGAAAAATTATGAATAAAAATAAATTAATCTATTTTTAACTCAGATATTTGAGTCTAATTAATGAAATCTTTTTCTATAAAAACATTTTAATAAGTTTTTTGCTGAGTATCTGTTAACAAAGGATATTCGTATACTTAACCATTGAATATCTTTGTTAAATCTTCAAAACTATACAACTTATCTAACAAATTTAGTTTAATGCCTTTAAATAACAAAGTTTTCATGAAATCTATCTTTTTGAATAAAGTTCAAAGCATTCAGAAATTAATTAAAATAACTATTTAGTTTAAGACTATGCTTATATATATGGAATTGAAGAAAGAAATGATAAACTATTCTTCATCTCTTACTCTAAAAATAGAAATAAAAGATATTAAATTTTCAGAGAATATTAGAAGTTTAATTTGATTTCTAATCTTTTCAAAATATATATCAACCAAGTTTCAATATAATAATTCTTTCTTACACCTGATTAAAAAATAAAAAAGAAATAAGTTCACTTTAATTTATTAAAAATTCAAAATTAATTAAACTCTTTATTACTTTCCTTTGTTTTTTTTAAATGCTAATTTTTTTTCATACATAAAAAGTAAATTTTCATTTACTCTAGACATCAAGTACCAATCAAAATGTTACTCTTTATAATTTTTATAAATTTTGTGTATTCTTTTAAATGTTCTCCTGGCTGCATTAATAATTGTATAGCAGATTATACATGTGATGGTTGTATTACTGGATATTCTAATGATACTTCT